CGGCGCAGGCGAAGGCGGCAGCGACGGCAAGACACGTGGGAGGCCTAGGACAAGACGCTGACTAGACATAGCGCGCAGACGTGGAAGGGACGGGTGCCCCATCCGGTGGTGCCACAGAACGGTGGGGTGGGCAAGCGACCGGCAGGAGCACAACGCAGCGACTGGAACAGACGTAGGAACCTGACACGACACAGACACCTGGGGGGACGAAGCAACCTGGTGAGACGCGGGGACCCGAACGGGGGGGGGGAACCGGGGGCAGTGGCAGTAGGGGGGGCTGCTGGTGCGGCCGCTGGTGCTGCTGCTGCTGCGGCGCACGCGGGCCAGTGTGAAGAGTGTAGAGACCCGAGCCCGGCTCAGCAGTAAAGGTAGCAAGAGGCTGGTAAGAGTCTCCGTCAACACACACCGCAGTCTCTCCAGAAGGCTCAAACCACACACCCACGTGCTGACTCACGAGGGGTCGCACGCCCACCAAGTTCCGGGAGAACGAGGGGACGTGAAACCCAGTGAGAGACCCGGAGGGAGCAGCAGGACACGGTAAAGTGGTAGTGTGACGTGCAGTGACTGGTCCCGTAGTGGGATCAGCCAACGCTACAGAAACAGGCGCAGGAAGTGGTGTAAGTGTCGTGCTGTCCCGAAAGAAGCAGTGGGAGGCTCCAGAGTCCAGTGTGAACGACAGCGAAGCGTCCTCTGAGGTAGTCGCTGGTCTAGAGTCTACACAAGTACCTACACTAGCAACAGGCAACTGAGCAAGACTAGCACCTAAGCTAACAACACCAGAGTAAATAGAGTCAGAAACACTAGAGTCAACAACAGCATACATAGCATGAGGAGCACTAATCAGATCAACTAACTGCTCAGTAGACATGCCCCACAGAGCGGAGCCGTAGCGCTGAACCAGAGGAAGCCAGTCAGGAGCAGGACCGCCAACCCCGTAGGTCAACCGGACCGTGTCAGTGAGCTGAGAAAAGCACTGACCAGGGGGGTGAAAGCGGCCACAAGGGTGGCCCCGACGAGGACCTGTCTGAACCTGGTAGGGGCAGGGAGGGTAAGCAGCACCGCGCTGGGGCTGACGCAGCCCCGACCCCGGAGCCAGCTGCTGACGCTGCTGGGAGGAAAGGGGCTGCTGCTGCTGCTGAAGGTGCTGTTGACGCTGAGCCTGGTACCACGCCGCTGCTCCACCTAGCGGGGCCGGCAGTACAGGAGGCGACTGACGAGCTCGAGGGTCGCCGCCACCAGCAGGTGCAGTGGAGTCACCAGCCGCTGCACGAGGGGTCTCTCCAGACGCTGCACTCCCACCACCGCCAGTCGCAACAGCACCCCCACTACCTCCGCTACCTCCGCCTCCTCCTCCACCGGAACCACCTTTCTTGCCCCCCCTGCCGCGGGACCGCGACGCAGTCGTAACAGCAGCCGCAGTCGCGTCAGTAGCGGCAGTGGCAAGAGAGGCAGTGAAGGTGGGTAACTGCGGGACTGTGCACCCGTGGAAGAGTGGGGGGGACACAGTACCAGAGGCGGCAGCTACCGAACGAAGGTTGCTCTCGACGTCCTTGAGTGCAGACTCAAGGACCTCGATAGTCAGCTCACTAGGGTGCTTCAGCAGAAGCGCGTCACGGACGGAGGCAAGGCGGTCAGGGAGGCTAGTGGCGATGAAATAGACAGTAATCGCCATGGGGGGAGGAAGCAGTGCAAGCTGTGCCTCAGTGCAAGCAGCGCGGTAACTAGCGTCGAGCGAGCGGAGGTGAGCGATCAAGTCAGCAGAGCGCTCAAACGAGGCAAGATCAGGAAACAGGAACGGGAGGAAAAGACGGCCGAGAGAGACAGTAGCGGGAGTAGAGTAGCGGGCCTTAATCGCAGTGAGGTACGCAGCAGCGGTGCGAACCTGAGTAAAGTGGACCTCCTCAGACTCAGGGAGGAGGCTGCTGAGTGCGATGCAGGCCGCAGCGTCACGCGACGTCCAAGCCGTCCGGTCAGCGCGCTGACGGGCAAAGCGAGCCGTAGCAGCGTCGTCAGGAGCAGGGCCTAAAGCTGTAGGCTCGGGGGGCTCGGGGAGGTCACTAGTAGCGTGTGACCAGAGGGTCTCGCCCCCCTGGACCTGACTCTCTAACAGACGACGAGCGCGAAGAAGCCAGACGGAAAAGTCAAGGGGTCTACCGTCGGCGTCGAAACGAAGAACTCGCGGAGTCGCCATAGTGAGAACCAACGCGAACGAACAGGCGAGTAACAACCGGGGGTGAAGAGGACTCAGTCGCAGCGGAAGAGCGGGCTAGGGCGACGGGCCAAGACGTAGGGTAGGGCAACGGGCCAGGGCCTAGGGTAGGGCGACGGGCCAGAGCCTAGGGAGGGCGACGGGCCAGGGCCTAGGGAGGGCGACGGGCCAGGGCCTAGGGAGGGCGACGGGCCAGGGCCTAGGGTGACGCGACGGGACAGGGCGACGGGACGGAGCAGGGCGACAGGCGGGCGCGACGCGACGAGGGGAACGGGCGCGACGCGACGGGGGGGGGACGGGCGCGACGCGACGGGGGGAACGGACGCGACGCGACGGGGGGAACGGGCGCGACGCGACGGGGGGGAACGGGCGCGACGCGACGGGGGGGAACGGGCGTGACGCGACGGGGGAGATGGCGCTAGGCTCGGTACTAGGCGCGGTAACAACGAAACTGGTACGAACGAGAGGTAGGATCAGGCTCGGGAGGTACGAACGGAGAACGGAGGAACGGGATCCCACAGGATCCTAACCTAGCTGATACCATGTCAGAATGAGGAATGGATGTTCCATTGATGTTGGTTGGGGTACATATAACAAACCCTAACTTCTGTACCCCCTAAGACAAACCTCACTACAGGCTACAACATTTGACAATCTGCTGTACAGCGCATGGCATCTCCAAGTGTGTGGGTGGGGTCTCGTGCATCCCGGGCCAGGTACATACTATACACACGCGTACCCCCCCCCCCCCCCCAATCGGTCAAGTCCGTTTCAGTGTGACTCACGATACTACACTGATTCGTCAGTGTTACTTCTACAGCAACACGGAAAATGGTCAGTGTGGTAAGGTAGTCTATACTGAAATTTCAGTGCAAAATTGAAGCATATGCTGAATTTCCAGGGAAAACGAAAATCACAGCTACAAAATCAGCCTAATCAGTGTGTTTTACACTGATATCTGAGGGCCTTGGCCCGTGAAGCTGAAGGGGGCACAGCACATTGCGTGAACACATGCTATTCAAACAGACTGTTTCCAGCGATTCAACTTGTTCTGAAGTAGGGTCCATTTCAATATGGTGGCCGTTCAACAGACCCGCTTGAACATATAGCGTGCAGGGCCAGAATCACATTCACAGAGCATGCCTGCTTTGTTGCATACGGCTGACAACAAGGTTGGCATGTAAATATGTAGTTTCCTTCAGGGTGTTTTTATTTCTATTTACGAGTAGCCATTTCTTCTAGTACACATCTTTGGCGAAAGTGTCTGGATGCTATAGCGAAGTTTTCCGATTCGCGCTTCTCACGTTCTCGTTTTACAGGCACCTTCATTTGGCACCATGCGCTCAAAGCACACATGCGGGCCGTCACGCCGCCACCATCGAGTGGAAGTGCCGGACCGCCATCTTGGGCTGCTTGGAAGCTCGCCACAGTAATTTGAGGGCTGGCCGCGTTTCCACGTTGAAAACCTTGCGCAACAATGACAGCCAATCGAACTGCTTCGCTAGCCCCGTGATGGTCTCGTTACCACACCGCGCTGAACCACAGGATGTAATCTGACGGTTGTTATTCAATCTTTCATGGAGGTCATTTTGTTGGGCTTGTTCCACGCGCGACGTCGTCCGGGCAGCCCGACCACTTTCGCTGGTTGCCCTGCTTTTGCGTCACAAGGGTCTCCCTTGTAGACCACGACTTGTACAGTGAGACGACGGACCGGATCGCACGAATATCAACTCCCCGCGGCTCCACTTCGTTCACAGTGCGCTTCTCGTCCGATCCGTCCATCCGACGGTAAGCTTTGATCAGCGACGAGCTGCGATCGTAACCAGGCGCAACTCAGAGTTGACGGCCTCGTTGATGCGACGCGATAGCCACATCATACTTCTCCTGCCTGCCCGCACTGCCCATCCGGATCCAAGCTCTTGCCAGAGAACTGTACCTCCACACAAGTTCTTACCAGCCAAGCGATACCAGATTGAATCTAGCTTAACCGTATGAAAACGCTTTTTCAGCCTCAGTAACCCCATCCCATCACTACCACTCACTCCCTACCACCCAGCTCACACACACAACCCAAAGCTATTTTCCCCACAGAAGTTACCTTCGCCATGCTGTGCTGTGATATTCCCCACACTGACTGTCTCGTCTTTCTTGACCTATCTTCCGTCCCGTCTATTCAACCGCCATTTCCGCCCCCGTCTTCACGTCCATCAACGCCCCGTCTTCCCAGGCGCCACCCTGGGGTGCCTTTCTTCATTCCTCACTGTCGCCATTCGCTCCGCAGCAGTCGCATTCCCAGCCCTCTAGTCTACACCCTTAAAACCACTCTGGTTCCTGGCCTGGGTTCTTATTGCCCTTACCACCACCAAGGGTCACTGTGCTAGCCAAATTTCAACGCTGATCCGTCTTGGCCACACCACGACGAGAATCCTGTTTATCTGCTTCATCTTCTCAAGCCCTCGCTCTCTAGTGCTTATGGGCGTCTCCCTTCGATTCAATGCTCAGCCCGCAGATAGAATAAGATAGACTAACATCCGAAAGCTCGTAACTCAACTCGAGCTCCCTTTAGGTCAGTCGTTTTCGCGTTTTCACCCACACGTAGAAGTGTACACGCCGAACTTCAAACTAATTCCTGCGTCACGCAAGGTAACAGCAGCCTGTTCCAATGGGGACGCATGCTGATAACAGCTCCGTCCTCTCTTTCCCTGCACCCACCAAGCTCCCTCCCGCCATGGCTTGGTGCCAGTTCGCTCCGGTTTTTCAGTCGTGTGACCTGCCGTCGTCCCCACCGTCCATGTTGCCGGTCGCCGGCGAGCCTGACGGTGAACCGTTGCCGGTGTCCGGCAAGTCCATGATGGAGTGGAAGGACTCGGTTGTCCGAGCGGCTGCAGCGATGGGAACGACGCCGGCAAGTGACTCGTTCGACTCGTGTTCCTCCGATACAAGCTTATCCGATACAAGCACGTCGGAGACCGCGGCCCTTACCTCTGAGTGGAGCTCTAACTCGTTACTTAGTCTAAGCTCTACTCGCTCCGAAGAAGCGGAGGATTTAAGTAGCACTGAGGGTTCTGGAGCCGCCTCCCCTGGAAGTCCAGGTATGGCAGATGCGGCGGCAGCGGCAGCGGCAGATTTGCAAAGAGTGCTGCTACTGGCGGAAAACGCAGGAAAATTGGAGGAGCTAGCGGAGAATGCGGCAAGGATGGGCCTAGTAGCAGAAGCGCAAGCGCTCACGTTGAAGCTGGAGAGAACAGCGGATGATACGGCAGAAACGGCGGAGACGGCTGGCCAGGTTGCCGACGTCATCGATACCGCTGGCCCTGCATCGCCTGCCGTACCTTCCGCTCCTGTAATAGAAGCATCTCCTGCTCCTGCACCAGCCGCCGCCGGCCCGCCCGCCACATTTGTCGCGATGCAGCGACGCTCCGCCACGAGCCGCGCCGTGCACAACGCGGCCCGGCGCGGCGACGTGGAGGAGCTTCGAGCGCTGCTGGCGGAAAACCCGGAGCTGATCAACGCGCGGTCGAGCCTGGTTAGTGGCGGAACCAGGGCTGCACGGTTTCAGGCATGGGATCGCTTATTCCTCGCGTCTAATGTTATCTACACTCACCGCAAGTTCCGCACACCATACTCTCCATTCTCACAACTCCCCCTCCGCCCCCTTTTTCTCTTCCCCTCCCCATCCCCCTGAACCATCTCTCCTCATTTTTTTCCGCTCCCTCCCGGCCGCCTCCCTCACCCCGACCCCCCCCACCCCGCCATCAGACATGCCAAACCCCCCTGCACGAGGCGGCGGCGGAGGATGCGGTAGAGGCGATTCGTCTGCTCCTGTCGTTCGGCCGACCGCCGTCCGATGCGGGGAACAGCGGCGGGGACGAGCAGACGAGGGAGGAGGCATCAGGCGCGGTTCCCGCGGACGTCGAGGCGCGCAACATGGTGAGCGAAACACATTTCATGCTTCCTCTTTCCGCCATCTCCCCCTCCCCATGTCCCCGCTCCGCAACCCCTCCTTCCCTTCCCTCCCCCCTCCCCCTCCCCTCCTCCCTGCTTCCCCTTCTCACCTCCCTTCCGCCTCGTTTCAGCCCCGTTATTTACATGTTCCTCCTCTCCTCAATTCTTCCTCATTTCCCGCTGCTTCCCCGCGCGCTCCCCCACGCCACCCCACTCCTCCCCTCCTCCCGCCCCTCCGCTCTCCTGCATTCGCTGCTTCCCGTCGCTCCAATGCAGTTTGGCGAGACGCCTCTTCACATTGCTGCCAAGATCGGCAGCGCGAGGAGCGTCAAGGCGTTGCTAGAGGGCGGCGCGGCCGTGAACGTCGCTGCTTCGGTGAGTGGCGAGGCGACGCGGATTGGACTTCCGGAATGTTGGGGATAGGGCTGGGACATGCTTTCAGGAGATGCTGATAGGGCTCTGGAGTGAGCAACGCGGGGTGAGGCTGGGGCACATAGGGATAGGGCATTTGGGCACATGGGGAGTACTACCGGGATTGCTCGGAAGGTTGTCTCGTGAAGGTCGATAATCATGTGCCCGCCCGCGATGTCTTTTCATCCCGTTCATGCAATCTGGCTGCCCTCCCTCTTGTCCACCTTGCTGATCTCAACCCGCTTAATTATCCGCTTGCTTCCTCGACCCGCTTCACCACTTTAATCTCCGTCCACAGAGTCGCTTCATTCCCTCTTTCTGGTTGTTATTTCATTGCAGAATCGCGCCACTCCGCTCCATCTCGCCGTCTGGGCGGCAGTCAACACTACTGACGTGGCAGCCGATAGCAACGCGGGAGAGGATCCGGCTGGCAAGGGCCAACCGAAGATTCTGGAGGTGGTGGAGCTGCTGTTGAAACACGGTGCTGACGTGGCAGCGCAGGACAAGGACGGAAACTCCCCATTGAGTCACAGTCAATTAGGCACCTCTTCTGCTACAAGCACCAGCAACAACGGCAGCATCCGCGCCTCCCTTCGGCGAATCCTCGACCGCCACGTGGCACTCAACGCTCCCTCCCCTTGTTCGTCCCAAACCTCCCCCGCCTCCGCATTCGCCGTCATGCAGACGCTCGAAAACGAGTTATCCTCGTTAATAGGCCTCCCGCTTTTGAAGCAGCAACTGCGCGTGTGGGCGAAGGGCCTGGTCTTAGACCAGAAGCGGCGGGAATTGGGAATCCGCGTGCAGCCGCGCAAACTCCCCCACATGGCTTTCCTAGGTTCCCCGGGCACGGGGAAAACCACCGTCGCGCGCGCGCTTGCGCGGCTGTTGAATCTAGTGGGTGTTTTACCCACGGATAAGGTGGTGGAGGTTCAGAGGACGGATTTGGTGGGCGAGTTTGTTGGGCACACGGGCCCCAAAACGCGGAGAAAAATTCTGGAGGCGGCTGGGGGTATTCTTTTTGTTGACGAGGCGTACCGGTTGGTGCCACAGCAACGGTCAGATGAAAAAGACTACGGCGCGGAGGCATTGGAGGAGATCATGTCGGTTATGGACTCGGGCAGCGTTGTTGTGATTTTTGCTGGTGAGCATCGATTGTTGGCTGTGATTGAAGCGTAACGTTGTGATTGGCTCTCATGTATATCGATTGTATTTATTTGCGATTCCTTACCTTGCCTCTATTTTCCCCTTGCCATCATTTCCAGGCTATGCTGAGCCAATGAAGAGAGTTTTTGCGGTGAATGAAGGGTTTCAGCGGCGTGTGTCACGAGTATTCGTGTTTGACGATCTCTCTCCACTCGACATTGCGCAAGTCATGTTGCTGAAAATGAAGCAGGCGGCTGGAGAAGCGACTAATGGGGATGAGAGTGATGGTGACTGTGCTATCAGCAGTAGCAGCAGTGGTAGCGGAAGAGATTATGGAGCAGGAGCCAGTGGCAGCAGCAACAGTGACTTTAGTGAAGCCGGTCAGCAGTCGCCCCTTGCAGGATTCAGGTAATCATTTGTAGGAATACAGTTGTACTTTTAACATTTGACCATCTCTGCACACATCAATTTCCTGTATTTTCATTCTTGTCATACAGTGTACACTCTTGCTCCTTCCTGCACCTCACTCCTCTCCCTCCTGACTTGTATTCTGCTCTCCACTGCAGGCTGCATTCCAGCATAACTCCATTGTCCCTAGCAGCTGTTATCACCCGATCAACCACAGAGGAGCAGCGAAGGCAGAGGAACGGTGGGATGGCGCTGCCTGTGCTAATGGACGCTCGGGATCGACTTGACGAACGGCTGGATCTTGACTGCTGTGACATGGACGAGCTCATGACTATAACGATGGAAGACATCGAGGCAGCTCTGTCAATCATTCCTCAATAACAAGCCTGAGTGCTTCTAATGAACGGCACGCTTCGGTCAAGTTGCTGGGGTGAGCCAGCGAGGCTGACAGCAAGTGATGATTTGTGCCCCAGTTAAACTGTGCAAGCAGCTAAACTGGATGAGCTGCCCGAAAAACTTATTGAGTCGGAGCAGTAGGTGACGTCAAGGCAATGGCAATCCATGTGGCACCTTTCAAGCAACGTGCCCCCACCTGTCAGGATGCAGGTAGTGGGGATTTGTAGGATGGAGATTGCTGTCTGGAGAGGAAATAAGCTGCAGTGCAGCAGCAATAGATTGCTGCAGACTGGCTGGCAAGCTGAAGCTGGCAGCAGCATCAGTGAGAAGCCCTGAACCTAGTTTACAGGGTAACCAGACAACAGGTAGGATAACCTGAGCAACGAGCATGGCCTCCCTTATAGCCCAGGGCCAAGTAACCACCCTGTAACTGCTTTGTGGCAATGGTTAGTTCAGATAGCTAGAGAAGAGAGTTCTGTAGTTTACTAGCAGTAAAAGGTGGGTTGACTGCTCTGTTTGTCTATCAAGACATTTTTCACAGAATGAGGTCATCTGCCTAAGACGTTGAAGCATGAGATTTTCTTATGGTAGGTTGGCTGGCTTCAATATGTGCTCCAAACAATTACCGTATTTCCATATTACATGCACACTCCTATGTGAACCTGAGCATACGAGTTACACAATTACGGCTGCCTGCGGTACTTGTCATGTAATTCTTGAGCATATGCAAGGACTCTGAGGAGCACACAGAGGAAACAGCAAGAGGAGAAAAGCAGACATACATGGTAAGGAGTGGGAAAATACATAAGTTACCTTACGACAAACGGTACCTTACAACAGGCAACCAGCGACATGGATAGGAGCGGGTGGGTTGAGGCACATGCATGGGGGACACTCATGGATGGGGTTGAAGCACATGCATGGGGTTGACACTCATGGATGAGGTTGAAGCACATGCATGGGGTTGAAGCACATGGATGGAATTAAACACAAATGCATTGACACGCATGCATGGGTTTGTTGAGGCACATGCATCATTCTTATCGGTAGGTCATGCAGTTGCATGTTCATGTCGAACCTAGCTTCTTCCACCCTCCCATCCACCCACCTGTCCCCACTAAGATCCGAATGAGGTGCTATCCTATCCCACACATTACCTTCTGAAACCCCTTTCCCCACCACACCTCCTGAAGATCCCATGTCCAGCCTGAAAGTTCCCCATTATCCTGAAGTCTACACATCAGCCTGGAAGTTCCCCTTTACCCTGAAGTCTACACACCAGCCTGAAAGTTCCCCCTTATCCTGAAGTCTACACACCAGCCTGAAAGTTCCCCCTTATCCTGAAGTCTACACACCAGCCTGAAATTTCCCCTCCAACCTGAAGCCCTTCCCCATACAACTGAAAAATCCTTCACCGCCGGAAGCCTCCCCCCAACCTTGGCGCATGAACCACGACAGGCCCTCCTCACCTTCATGAACCTCCCTTCTAGAACGAATTAAAGGAATCGAACCTCCTCATTGACACGATCCCTGCTCACGTCAAAACCGGATTCGCTCGCACGCCTCCCTCCCCACCTCCGACCAAGCAAGGCATGCACGAAATTCCGGCTCTCTTCATCATTGTTCGAGCTGCCCTACTATACAACGGACCACCATCACGTGGTTTCCTCCAGTCGCAATCGCAGATAATAATCACAAATAGCGTTTCAAGAACTTTCTATTCTCCTTTGCAAAAGACTCACTTGCGCGCGTTCTCTTCAACGTTCGGCACGTCGTAATTCTGTCCGACGTATATCCCCACCACCGTCCCCGCTAAGAAGCTCGTCACGGCCTTGTTATAAAACACCACGTTGGCCAGGAACGTGCCGACGAAGGTCCGGACGAGAGCCATGCGCGCGTGATGCGAAAAGAGTTACCGCATCTCGAGAACTAATTTCGGATTAGGACTACCTCTTGCTCGAGACAAGCTCGAAAGCGAGTGGAAAGAAGGCAGATGGGTCACGGGCCAGGAAATCTTATGTAAGTCTCAAATATATTAGTAGGCAGATGGGTGCTCTTCGTGCCTGGGCCAAGCGATTGGTGTCAGAGTACCAAGTTTGGCGCGCAAATTGCACTCCAGCGTCAAAAGAGGCTGGTTACCAGACTTGTTAAGGGCGTTTTGCGCGTTCGTTTCCAAACCACTCGGCTTGTTTGGTTGGACGGCGGAATAGAGAACCACTCTATAACGTGTGGGATCTTGCTGGAAACGCACTTGACCACCAGCGGAAGTACGGGCAGGTTTTCCGAACCTGGTGGTTCGTTTCTCACAAGCCACTTCCCTCCTCCAACCACAACCACCACACACCTCTGACTGTCGCGAAGAACTGGATTCTGCTCATTACCGTACCCAAACCCTCCTACACAATGGATGAATATTCTGAACCGTACTGAATCGAAATTTCTTCTGTGACACGAGCTCAGCTTCACGTTGACCGTAGCAGCAGGGCTGACAGGGCTTGACTAATCGTCCTCCCCTAGTCTCCTTTTCCACTTCCCTTCTCAAGCTTCCGTTTTCCTTTCTTTGGAGTGTCCATCTTACTTGCTACATCTGCGTTTGCAACAGGAAAATATGGACGGCGAGGAAATCGACGGGTTTAAGAAACCCTCCGCGAACCCGGAGGAGACGGCTACGAACGGCCAAAAGGAGACTATGGAAGGTCCTAAGGAGGGTAAATCCGCGCCAATGAAATTCTCTTTAGGCAAGATGAAAGGCTCTGCGAAGGTTTCGCGGAAGACGCAGGAGAAGAACGACGAGGAGAGCGAGCAGCGCGAGTTGATCACCGCCGTCGATTTCACTGGCTTGGTAGCTAAGGACGACTCCAAGTCGAAGCGCGGGCCGAAGATCATTTCTCCGCTAGAGGACACGTGGAAGCCGGAGAAGCGGATGAAGAGTGTAAATCCGGAAATGGAGGAGATTATGGGAGGTCCGGAAAATAAGTTCGATATGGGTACTGCGGGATCCTTACCTGGAGGGGAAGAAAAGGTAAAAGGTGATGGAGCAGACGAAGCTTCTGGTGGCGTTCGATACGGTTTGACCGTCAGATCTGCTCCGGAAAGGTTTGACGAGCGGGATAAACGGCCAATTATGGATCCTGAAACGCAGAAGCTACAGGAGGATCTTGATCGTCTCCCAGACGAATCGAATTTGGACGATTACGAGTCGATGCCTGTAGAGGACTTTGGAGTTGCGCTTTTGACGGGGATGGGTTGGCAGAAAGGCAAGCCCATTGGTCGCAACGCCAAGGGATTGGCTGAACCTGTGGAGTTTGTTCCGAGACAGGGACGCCTGGGTCTAGGAGCTACTCCAAAGCTGCTGGAAAATAACAAGAAGCTGATTAAGCCCGGGGAGACCCGAGGGCCCAAGCCGGACCTGGTAGCTTCGGTCGGACCAGATGGGAAGGTTCGGCATGTGAAGCCGATTTCGGAGAAGCTAGTGGAGAGGGTGAGGCCTGGGCCGGCCAAGGGGAAGGTGATGAGGATAGTAGAGGGACGGCATGAGGGGTTGACAGGGGAGGTGATGGAAGTGGTTGAATTGGGAGAAGGGAAGGGGGTTCAGGTGAGGCTGGTGCTTGTGAGTAGTGAGGAGGTGATTGTAGTGAAAGGGAAGGAGGTGGTGGATATGGGATCGTGGGAGGAAGAACAGGCGATGAAGAGGATACGGGGTGAGGGGGCTGGGGATGGGGAAGAGAGGAGGGTGAAAGAGAAAGATCATGCGGGAAGGAGGAAGGGATTGGAAAGGGAGGAGAGAGAGGGTGGAGAGAGGAGCAGAGGGAGACGGGAGGAAGGGAGGGAGGTTGAGAAGCCCATAGAGAAGGGAAAAGGTGATCAATCTGTGGCCAGAGACAAAGACAGGGAGCGGGATGGAGGAAGGGACAGAGAAAGAGGTTCTGAAAGGGATAGACAACAAGGCAGGGAAAGAGAGAGGGACAGGAACAGGGAGAATGAGCGAGAGAGGGTCAAGCATAGTGACAGAGACAGGGACAGGGAGAGGGGGGGAGACCGTGACAGGAGAACTGACCAAGAGAAGAGCAGCAGGAAAGAAGATAAACGAGAGCAGGCTTCTACTAGGCAACGGGCCTTACGAGAACCATCTCTCTCAACTCCTCCTCCCAGTCGGCGACCATGGTTAATGCCGCATATCCGAGTGCGCATTGTGGATAAGCGCATACATGGGGGGAGACTTTACTTGAAGAAGGGGACAATTGTGGATGTTGTCACGCCAACGACTTGTGACGTGCTGCTGGATTCTGGGTCATCAGAAGCTGGTGAAAGGAGTGGGAATGGGGTTAGCAGCAGAGGCAACTTGGTTCAGGGATTGAAGGAGCAGGAAATGGAAACAGCTCTGCCGAAGAAAGGTGGCCGCGTTATGGTTCTTTGTGGCACGAACCGAGGGCAGGTTGGGAAACTTTTGGAAAGGAGAGGAGAGGAGGGTGTGGCTGTGGTCCAGTTGGCAGAGTCATTTGATTTGGAGCGAGTGGCAATGGATGATGTAGCAGAGTATGTTGGGGAGTTGGGCAGCTATGAGGGCTAAGTTGCTCTTCTGATGTGCAAAATGCGGTTTCATGCTGGCACGTTTGCAAAGCTGAGCATGCATGAAGGAATCTATATATTTGTTACTTCAAGGTTACTCTTGAACGACTTTTGTGATACGACTCTCTGAGGAGTGTGCAGTGTTGTCATCATAGCTCGTCATAGCATTACAAATCTCGATTATACAGCACACTCTGATAGGCAACAACAGCTGGTTCAATCATCAGCTACGTACTAAGAACAGTCTACGATAAAAGGGGGTTGGGACTAGGGAGGGAGGGAAGCAAATCAAGATCTGGAAAATGCAAATGAGACTAGGTGGCAGGTCTGAGAGACCTGCAGGAATGTCAAGGAGTTTGTCTCCTTTACAGCAAACTCCTCTACTAGTAGAATCACAAACCTCAAATTGTTTAACTTAAAGAAAAAATTACATCTTTCAAGAATCTCGATGTACAGTATCACATTTCTCAGGTGTGCATGCATCAGCACATACTAGTGCATCAGCAGATGAAACCCTTGGCTGCTTAGTGCATGCTCATGCTTGGACACTTGATGGTACTCACTGCTTCTTAAGGTGAAGGGTCATTTTTCTTTGATATAATAGTGAAAGCATTTCAAATACCGTAAATGATACAGGAGTGTCAATGATATCCACCGTGCATGAACTCTCGCTTACAGTAGGGGCTCTCACAAAAATCCTCCCGCAAGAATCTCAATATCACTGTAAGGAGTGGCTTGCTTGACCTTGAGGTAGTTCATCGTTGCAAGAACTGCCAAGGAACGAAGTTATTAGGCATGAAAAATGAAAGCAAGCTGCAAGCATTGGCATCACGGCAAGGGGCAAAGGTGTGCTAGACTTACCACATGTTTGGTAAAAGATGCGGGCTGCTTGCTGCCTGTTGCAGTCTGCTAAAAGTTCATGCAGTGATGCGAAATTTATTTCTGGATTGCTGAAGACTTGCTGACGGAAAAATCTGCAAGCACAAAGCCTGAGTGACTGACACATTTAGCCAGCAACTGTTACAGAGGGATATAGTCCCGCTTACCCAGCAAGAGATGCTGTCCTCTTGTCAATGGAAGTTGCAGGGAATTGTGTCTGTGTTGCATCCGTTTCTTGCAGGGGCTCGGATACACCTGAAATATAAGAGTGGTTTCTATACGATTCCATACAAAGGAGCGCAAAAAAGCAGGAAAGGTACTCACCAAACTGGCTCAGTGCACCTCGCAGTCCACTGCTGCTATGTTTGGAAGAATACTTTTCAGCACTCTGCCCGGGAAATTGAGCAGTCAAATCATCAGCCAAGTTTTGAGGAATCTGTGGCGAGCCTTCCATCAAGAAATCTGCTATGTTTTGAGGACGGTTTCTGCAATATCACAGTTCAAGTGGCTTAGTAAGAACAAAGCAGCAACAATACTGCAACCAAGTGCAGAAGTCAGACTCACCCTCTATAGAAGTCTGGTTGATTTTCCTCCTCCATTGGAAGTGGGACCCCACCCGAAGAGTTCTTTGTTCGTTCAAGATCCAAAAGCCCTGCAGGGTGATAGGCGAAGCTTTAGAAAATGGATGGAGCTTGTGCAATAAGGTGACGACACGACACAATGACCTACCTTGAGCAGGTGGAGTCACGTCATCATGTCTTATGCCATTTCCTGCCACTACTGGCGTCTCATTTCTTTCCCTCATAGCTTCAGCAGATCCGAAATCATCAAGCATGGCCTGATTTGGCATCTCAGGGTCCTGCAAGGTCAAACGATTGTTACTGATCTTGAGGTAGAGAAAGTATTGCAGAATCAAACTGTGGAGGATCTTTATGGTACCTTATCACTTCCACTTTCCATGTGAGCTTTCTTCGAGGCATGCATCTCTGCAAAGGTCAGACAACCTCGATAAATAACAAGGAAAACTCCATAAAAAAACAATGGATGTGGAAGTTGACGACACCTACCGTCTGTTTCAGGATTGCTCCTGAATGTATCCTTTCGTACATATCTGTTCCACGTCCGCAGCATTCCTTTGGACCATCTGGAAGCTACAAACCCATCCATTGTGATACTTCCAGTCAAGGGAAGGTCAATAAGAGATTCAATGGATTTCTCCAAAAGCGCCTTCCGATCCTAGAATTGGCAGAAACATTAGAAGTGGTCCACATGCTGGGAAAGGTTCACAATCCGGTCATACCTTCTTCACTCTTCCAACAATTTTTGACGTGTCTTGCAGCCATCGGTTGAATTCCATTGGGGCCACCTCTGTCCTATCCTCATCCATAACAACTTTCTTTGGACGCGCCTTCCGTTTAAGCTGCCTTGATCGCTTTGGAGCCTCATTTTGTTCAGGCTGCCACATTGCAGGTAGCGTTATTAGACTGCAATGCTTAATGCGATATCAGTAAAAGCGAACCCATTACATACCGACTCAGGTGCAGCAGTCTGATCCCGAATATTTTGTGGTTGGCCTGCTTCTTGCTGGTCTTCAATGATGGTTTCCGGATGAGGTCCTTGAGGGGTGCTCGGCTTCGGCGAATTCATTCCTGGAATTTTGATTCAGAGCGCAACTTAGAAACAACATTTACAGGATCTTGGCAGACAGCAAGCTTGGTATACCCTTCAAAATGTCTTGCCACATAGCGTCCGCAGCACCTTCGTCTTGAAATGTCATAGGTGGTTGATCACCAACCCCAAACCTGCGGATGCATGTGTAGATAAGTCATTTGAAAAGGAATAGCTGTCTCAACAACTTTCGAATCTCACCTGCTGAAGCCTTCGTTGTCATGTTGAAACTCCGGAAGGGTAATGTCCGCAGGTGTCGCTGGAACATCAAATGAGTTAGCTTAAGCCGAAAACCCACAGTTCAAATTGAGCAAGTGCAGCCTGCAGGCTCACCCAAAGTGTGCTCATTTCGGCCATCACGTGCAACTTCTGGTTGAGGAAGTACAAAGAACTCCTGAAAAGTGCATTCATGATTGAGAATGGATGTTGCATTCTTGCGTACAAGAATAGCCTGGGAACATCTTACATTTGTCTCGTCCCCAGGGGCACGACCAGAATCAAGAGTGACGTCAACGTTGAAGCTACCAAACTGGTAGTCGACCGTAACACTCTCAAATCTGTGACGCTAATGGTTAGCTGCAATGACGAGAACAACAGAAATATATCTATAGGTCAAACAACCAACCTTGCTTGGCCTTTCTCCCTCGGCAGCGTTTTGTCATCTCGCTTGACAACCAGGGCCGCGTTAATCTTTGCCTGTGCAGAAAGCACCGCGGCGTTAGTCGTATTTTCTCACACGAGAAGCGAAATAGAATCAAAAACTCTTCCCACCATGAAAGCTTTGGCATCCTCCAGAAGAAATGTGACCTTCTTTGAATACACAATGACCGCACCACCTGTAGAACAAAACCATATGCAATCAGTATCGTGTCCCTGGACGCGATTTCAGAGACACGTGCGTCAAATTATACCCATTAGAATCCCGGAGAGACGGAGAGCAAGTGGAAGTTCAGGCTCTAATATCCGGGCGCAGATGTCTCGAATGTCAATAAGTGCAGCCTTCTTCCTGTTTATGCTTCCTTGCATCATAGCGGCAATCCTGTTGAGGAAAAACAGGTGTTTGCTAAGCTGGCCGAAAGCATGACGTGCAGCAACAAACTTGTGGACTCTGAACCGTACCATATTTGGCCGAGAGGACTTTTCCTCGAAAGCAAGGAGTTTGAGTAGAACATGGTTAATCAATAGACAAGCAATGACCTGGAGTCGTGTCTTCAGCTAACTGGGTCGAGAAGGAGCATGAACAGAGGGATGCAGGAGAATGTAAGGAACTAGTAGAGCTATTCGACTAAATGTCAACAGAGGTGGTCTACTTTTGCTGACAAAACGGGAGCATAGCCAACCTTGAGCTTGCCGTTGGCTCGTCATTTCGAAATTGGCAGGGTCGAGCAGCGACAACTTCAAAGAAAGCTCGTGGTCGTAGAATTCGAAGGGTTGAACTTTTCGAATTCGAAAATTGTTTGAGCACGTACATTTCGAGGGAACGTTCTACGGATTTTATTTGCACAGCCGTACCATGTCGTACCGCCAAACAACTACGTAAACCGCAATGCAGTTGTATCACTCCCTAGAGGGGGGGGCAGTGTATCGGACTTTTCACATTAGCATTCATTGCTTCGTATACGTAGCTTACCCAACCGAGCAGTATGTACAGTAAAACCTTGTGAAGTGACTTCAAACCCTGGAACTCTTAAAAGGTACACTCTTAAAATATTACTGTCACAAACTCAGATCCAAGGTTATCAGTTAGTCACGCTGTTGGGAACACTGTTAGGAGCACTAACTTGCAGTGCTGGGTCTATGTATGTAGGTCTCCGTCCACCGGGTCCGTATCGTTCAAATGTCAATGCTGCCTGAGCGATGGATCGCCCCCTGACATCCATCAGCTCAGTCAACAAAACATTGTTGTCAGTAATCCCATCAGCTCCTTCGGGAAAGTTGCACTTGGCAGCAGATCCCCGAAACTTCCTCGAAATGGCATCATACGCCCGGGCAGCTTCTTCTGGGGTGTTAAAGCTTCCAAGCCAGATGCGACGGCGCGAGTGAGGGTCCCTGGCTTCGGCCACCCATTTACCAGAAGGACGCTGCAGGAGGGAGAAACACAGCAGAGAAAAAAGACTGTTAGGATAAGGAACACAACCACCACAAACACATATCAAATCAGACAAACGGTACAGCAGATGTAGGACATAAAAAACGCAGTAAAGCTCAGAAAATTACCTGGCGAACACCTCGGAAAAGCCGAGTGCGGCCGTCTTTCTTGTTTGCGCTCTTCTCGCTCTGCGCAGCACCATCAGCTCCAGCAGCAGCCACAGCAGTGGACGCATCCACAACAGCAACAGTGCCATCAGCAGATGCAGCTGTGCACTGATCCGCACCCGAGCCTCCAGCATAGCTACTGCTGCTTGATGAGTGAGAAGGAAGAGAGGCCGATGGAGGGACAGATGTGCACGGCGACTGATCCTGGGGAACCAAAGATGTGCACATGGCTCCAACTCCAGCTGCTGCTCCTGTCGACTTTGCTGCTGGTCCTGGCAATGCTTTCACAATAACCGCTCCTTGTGCAGTAGCAGCAGCAGGCTTTGCTGCTGCCACCGGCATTGCCAGCTGGCCGGCTGGGACTGGTCCAGTGAGAGACTTGGGCAGCTGGAGCAGCCCCATGAGAGGCGCCGCTTTATGCGATGTGACAGTGTGCGGTGTGACAGTACGCGGAGTGACTACTGTCTGTGCAACCACTGTGCGTGGAGCACCTGTGTTGGGAGGAGGCGGATGCTGCGACACAGGGTACGCCGCCTGAGACCGGTGCGAAGGCACGGCTGCCGCAGCAGCCAGCGCGGCGGACGCAGGCGCGGAGAGAGACACGTGTTGCGCGGAGGCGGACGCGGACAGCGGAGCCAGGCTCTGCTGATACTGGGCGGATGCGCTGGGATGGCTGGGATGTCCCCAGGACCCGGGGAAGGTGGGGTAGGGGGAAGTTGCTGGGACGGCTAGCGCCGGCTGCGCTCCCGCTACAGCCTGCTGTTGGTGAGGCGCGGAGCGAGCATTCACTGATTGCGCCGAATGGTAGTAGGACGGCTGGGCGGAGTGGGAGTGGGGGTATTGTTGCGCGCGCGGGTACTGCTGCACGTTGTTGCTGTACTGCTGGTGGGGGTTGCGTTGCGCGTTGTACTGCCACTGCGAAACAGCCACAAACGGGTACGGCCCAGGCTGCCCCGGAGAGAACTGAACGGGAGCGGGCGCGATAGGGGTGGGACGCGGAGCGATCGTAGCTGCAGGGGAGAGAGACACAGCAGCTGGAGCTGCCACCGGCGCTGGAGCTGCTGTCGCGGCTGGTGCTACAGCCGCCTGACCTGACGGTGCAGGCGCAGGCGCAGGAGCGAGCGCAAGCGCAGACGCGGGTGCAGGCACAGCAGCGGGCGCTGCCGCGGGAGCAGGTTCTTCCGCAAGCGCCGCCGCGGCGAGTAGAGACAGGCTATCCGCAGCTGCGACCACGTCCGCCTCCTCTTGTAACGCGGACGATTCCCCGCCCGCGACGATCTCGCCGTCACCATCCGAGCTTGATCCGGCAGTTGGACTTAGCTCCTCGAGCATCGGAGTCGGCAGAGCCTCGATCTGGCGAGGTGCGGCAGGATTGTTTTCCGAGGCAACCAGCTGCTCGGGCTGGGGAAAATTGGTCCGGGCGTTGGCTCCTCGAAGCCGGAGGTTGGCTGCGTCGTAGGCTCGGGCTGCAGCCTCGGCAGTGTCGAAGCTACCGAGCCAGATCCGCTTCTTGGTTCGGGGATCCCGAATCTCCGCGGCCCAGCGACCCCACAGACGCTGCAGAACAGACAGGCAACGGAAAAAATCAATCTTGACAAGTTCAGAATGAGGCACAAGCACAAGAACCAAGGAGCAAAACGACGAGAGAGAAAAAGAGAGGACGAAAAAAAGGCGCGCAAGAAGCTAGATCTGATCTCAGAATCCGCCGTTTATGTCAATGCGCAAAAGTCATGACGTAGATTTCCTTCCTTACCTCGCGAATTCCGCGGAACTTCCGGTCCTTCATGCTCTTCCTTTTCTTCGGACCCGGCGCAGCGGCCGGTGGCGCCGGCGCCGCCGTCGGAGCCATCGGTGCCGCTCCCGCGACAATCGGGTGCGCTGGAGCCGCGACGGGACCTGCAGCGGCCCCCGAATCCGCGCTGGGGTTCACTGGTGCATATGGCGCCGCAGGAGCTGTTGACTGCTGAGAGTGTGACGTGGCCAGATGCGGGGCGGTAAGAGCGGAGGAAGAAGCGGAGGGCGGCATCGTTAGCCGAGTCACGCAGACGGCTTCCGCGGCGGGAGGACAACATGCGGGAGGGTAGCTTGCAGTAGGGCAGATCGCGGGAGGGCAGCTTGCAGGGGGGTTGGCGGAGCCGAACCAACCACGGTGCTGGTGCGACGGCGGCGGCGGAGTGGAGGGAGGCGCCGGAGTGAGCGCCGGCATGCAGTGGGACGGCGGAGCGTGCGCAAGGGAGGCGAGGGCGGTGAAGGCGGAAGGACCGCGGGATGAGGGTGAGAAGGAGCTGGTAGACGGGGGAGACGACGAGGGAGATGAGTCAAGAAGGTGGAAGGAAGAATTTACGTTATCCCTCTGCGACGTCGCGGCGACGGATTCTGCGACGGGCTCGGCGACGGGCTCGGTGACGGTCTCCGCGTCAAGGCTGCTTGCTAGCGACAGACCCGGCGACTGCACGTGCCTCATGGGAAGCGCGACGACGTGCGACGGTTGCGACTGACGAAGATCTATTTGGCAGTGGCGCTTCGCCTTCCGCGGGCTGGAGAGAGAATCCCGTAGGTTTGTGACGGCCTCGACCGGAGAGGAGGAAGGTGCAGAGGAGAGTAGGCTGAGGGAGAGGTCTAATGAAAGACCAGCCATGATGTGAGATAGCTTCGATCTGCAGCAGACAGGGAATCTGCCGCTTCGGGAAGCCAACGGAGAGGAGGATTAATTTGATATGCAAGGCGTAACGCAACCCCTTTTTTTCTGAAGGCAGCGTCCTAACTGAGATGAGAGGTCAAGGATTCAGATGTGACTGAGCAAGTGAAAATTGGCTGGAGCACGAAACGCCTCTGATTTCTTTTGGTGATGAGATGGGAAAACACCAATGAAGGGTTTGAGTTGAGAGCACAGTGGGTCGGTCCGCGCAGCTCAGTTGAAAGTTGGAGAGAAACTCAGGCAGTTGCGTGCGACGAGGGGGAGTTGAGTCAGCGCGCTCGGCAGAACCAGCGGGGAAGGGAAAGCGACGAAAGGGGAGGGAGGGAGGGAGAATGAAATGGCGGTGGGCGTTGAGGGAAGCGAATTTCGTCCCATCGACAGACAGATTGACGGCTGGCGGCGTGGCGAATGGAAGACGGGGAAGTGACGCCGTCACAGGGCCAGGTGGGATCAATCGAAATGCGGGGGAAAAGGCGGAATGATGCTGCTGGTTCGGCGCCGGGACCAATGGGGGGACGTCAGGAGCTCTTTGGGAATTCCGCGGGCATCTTGGCGGACAAGGGGTTTTCATGGGCAGCTAGGGGGAGATTCTGGCTGGGCTGGTTACGGAAGGTTCTGCGAGAGCGACCTCCTAGGAAATGGTTCCAGCTGCGATGGATGGTTGGTGTGACATGGCGACGGACGGACATCAAGCAAGGCAAGGTACAAGCCGCGCGAACGATTGTGATTCGTCAGCACGTTTGGGCAGGTGTGTGGTTGGGTGAGGCGGAGCAGCAAAGAGAGGATATTCCGTCAATCGGGTGATTGGGTTTGAGGAAAGGGGAGTGGGCGTGAAGTCGTGTGCGAAGGAATGAGAAGCCGGAAAAGCTTAGGCGACTCGATAATTTCGGAGATTCGTGCTCAGTCAGGGAAGCAGATGTACGCGGGACGCAACGATGTGCGCTCTGTTGTGGGCACACCGCAATCCGCTGGGGACTGGAAAGTCTTGGGTTACGGAACGGCGGAAGTTCGTCCGCTTGGCGGTTGGGCGGTGGATAACGCCTACGACTCAGATTGGGGAAGGGGGCACCACCGTCAGCCGAAAACTACGCGATGCCGCCTTCTGTCGTCGCAGCCGCAGAACCAAAGTATCGAACTGGGGTGTAAGGGTTTTCCAGCCGAGCCTGGTTGTACATGACAAAGTCGCAGACACGCGTGCGACGTCCAAGATTTTCGGTTCGGCACATCAGTGGCTTGCAACCTGCATGCCCGTTCACCTCTCTCGAGCACTTGCGGCCAAGAGGGTGACGAGACGAGAGAGAGGTCACCGCAAAATGCGGTTCGAACTTCCCCTCCGCTCACCCACGCAAACCTGTCGGCCGCCATGACATCTTCGCCAGCACGAATTCTCCGCACGGCTCGGCGGCAGCCCCCGCAGACAGACTGCCTGAAAAGTGTAACACCCAATGAGGGTCGTTCTTGCGATGCCACGCGACTGATCGCAGAAGAAAGTCGCTGACAGGTGGGGTGCACCTGGCGGCAGTCCACAACAGCCGCCACACGGGTGGGATGGTGCTGGCGCAACAAACATCCTTCTCCAAAAATGTTTACTCCTGCCATTCTGCTCCGAAATATGTAATTATGTGTAAGCTTTGGCTGTATAACTGAAATATGCCACTGCCTTCAATTCACGACCCTTATGCTTCCACGATATATTTTCTAAATGGTTGGAAATGGTACAGCTTGTGGGGATCTCTTTCTACACGTCGTTTGACTGCGCGAGGAGGAGTCGGCGGGAAGGCGTCCCCTTTCCAACCAATCTGAGTTCCGCAACCTTTGGCGGCAACCAATCAGCACTTTCGTAACAGGTCACCCACCACCTCTGACCACGGCCAGGTGAGCTCTGCAATCTGCTGCTTTCCACCCCAGTCGCAAAGGTTCATTATTGGCTACTCAATTTGACTGCAGACCTTGACAAGCCTGACAACCTCTTCCAGCGTGGCATCTGCCACAAAACTCGAGCCGCCAAGGTGATAAGCCGAGCTCAGGCTCTGTGAATGGGATATACTTCAACCCACTTCCAACCACATGCAGGGTACAAATGTTCTGGCTTAGAAGCCTTTCCTAAAAGAGTCGATTTTTCACATAAGTCCTAGGTGTATCCCCTCCTCTACAGTCCCGTTTTTGGCGGGAAATCTTGAATCTTGACTGAATCATTTCACGAATCAGTTCCGCAGCCAATCAGAGAACGCAAATCGAACCTGTCAGAACATTTAGAGAAACTAAAACGAAAGGAAGTTTTGATTCACTATTTATTTATTTTGCATTGTGTTTGTCTGTTTATCTTGACCGCTCTTGTGTCGAAATCCTGTTGCGCGGTTCCCCGCAAGCTCCGACGATGCCACCTCATTAATCTCGCTTACAGTGTAAAACAAAAATGTTGTCTTTCCTTTCGGCCTTAAAAATAATATATTTTGTATTTTTCTGCCTGTTTGTCCTGCGACACTGATCAACGCGGCGAACCGTGCGACGAGAAGTTGAAGACAGCGTAGTCCAAATGTACGTATGTGCCAGAAAAACACGAATAGTAGCGAAGAATAATCTCTCTTCATGCAACTGTTCTTATATGGGACTATAAGTTCCCTTTTGCCCGGGGTTTGTGAGTTTTCCACAAAGGCCTGCAGCGCGCGTGTTTTTCACGTGGACTCTAATCGGGAACATCGTGTATGATGGTTGCGTCCCATCCCAACCTGAGTACACCTTGTTTCGCGCCACACTGACATTCGCCATATTGACAAGCTGGCTGTACTGACATCAATGCGTCCAAATTGGTCCCATAACATACCGTATAAGCACTTTTGCCGCACGAAACCAAACTTAAAAGCACGTTTGATTTCATAAACCACTGTCTACCGTTCTCCTGAAGTGCATTTCGGTTGCAATCACCAGCCCGCTGAATCCAAGCACACGTGCGCACTGTAGCCGGGCTCCCGATTGTTCAAACATCGAGAAACAGGGTGTATATGACGCTGCCAAGCATTATTGAACAAGAACTCGCTACGCACTTATTTCACTCCATTTACAGTACACATTTCACATCCCAGAGAATTATATCCTTGCTTATTTCTCATGATTGGGAAAAAAGGCACAGAAACAATTACTTTTTGAAGGGAAATTCAGCTATCCATATGCCAATGCAGCATTAGAAATAACAGAAAATATGGAAGAACACTCAAAACAACAATCTTCTCAAGCACTATATTGGGACGTACACTTCCTAGCTTCCACCGCTCATGGATTACCAAGCACGGCACCGCCAAGGGCCCCGGCCAGATTCATCAGCATCCCAAGGTCCAGCTGGTTTGCATTCCCTCCAACTGCACCCCCTGTCTCCAACCCCATAAGAGCTTCCACCACGGGCAACAACGCGTTCAAATCCACATTCAGTGTACCATCATTGTTTCCACGGCTAACAGCGTTACTACCACCGCCGCCTGTGGCTTGCTGGACAAGGGTTTGAAGTAGCGGCAACGCAGCAGCCCAGTCAATACCTCCCCCAGAAGAACCTCCTTGAGAAGCTGCAGGGAAGGCAGATCCAGTCGTACCACTAGGAAACCCAGTGTTACCACTTGAAAACCCTGCGTTACCACTGGTACCACTGCTGCTACCGCCTCTACTGCTGGAACCACCAGAGCCAGACATGGCCCCCTGGATTCCCCGCAGAAGCTGCAGTGCGGCATTGGTTACCGTGTCACCAGCCATGCCCAGCAGCATGCCAGGAGCAGAAGAGGATTGTGTGGAGCCTCCGGGGAGAGGGGTGTTTGCGGGAAGGGGGTTGGAGGTGGGGAAGGTGGTGGGGGTGTTGGTGGGGAGGTTGGCGAGAGTGGAGGAGAGGGAGGAGGGAGTGGAGGTTGGGACGGAGGAGGGGAGGGAGGAGGGGAGGGAGGATGGGAGGGTTGAAGGGACAGAGGAGGGGAAGGATGATGGGAAGGAAGAAGGGAAGGAGGAGAAGACAGAGGAGGGGTTGATGGTAGAGGTAGTGGAGGGGGTGGTGGTGGTTGGGGAGGAAGACGCTAGGGAGGTGGTGGGGTTTGGGGTGGCGGTGGTGGTGGTGGGACGAGAGGAGGCGAGGGTGGTTGGGCCCCTTGCAGCTGTCGAAGGGGTGGCGCTGGTAGCTGGAGTTACTTCTGGAACATTGGATTTCATTCCCATGTGCAGGCAAACAGGCACACACATGCATCACAGACAGTCATGCCAACACACACAGGTACACACATGCATCACAGACAGTCATGCCAACACACACAGGTACACACATGCATCACAGACAGTCATGCCAACACACACAGGCACACACATGCATCACAGACAGTCATGCCAACACACACAGGCACACACATGCATCACAGACAGTCATGCCAACACACACAGGCACACACATGCATCACAGACAGTCATGCCAACACACACAGGCACACACATGCATCACAGACAGTCATGCCAACACACACAGGCACACACATGCATCACAGACAGTCATGCCAACACACACAGGCACACACATGCATCACAGACAGTCATGCCAACACACACAGGTACACACACACACACACACACACACACACACACACACACGTCCATGCACCCCATCATTCAAACGCACACACCCTCAGACAAAGATAGGAACCAATGATTCCTGTCAGAAGGTACACGTTACTGCATCGGCAGCTCAGAACACAGAGAAGACATTGCTACCCAGCAGGAGGAATCAGCTCTCACCTTGACGCCAAACTCCAAGCCGAGGAGCCACGGAGGCAGCAGCGGGGAGGGGATTGCCTTGAGATGCCTCCCCCTCACCCACCCCTCACGCCCAGTACTCTCCCACTCCCCCTAATTCGCCTCCATGCCTCCCCCAGGTCTCACCTTGACGTCGAACACCGAGCCGAGGAGCCGCGGAGGCAGCAGCGGGGAGAGGAGTGGTGGTGATTGTCGATGGAAGAAGTGGCGCGAGGATCTGGTGGGGATGGGGGGAGAAAGAGATGGAAGGCGAAAGGGAGGAAAGGAAGAGTGTAAGCGATACGTAAGAGCACGGTGCAGTAGGGAGAAAGGAGAACGGAGGGGCCAAAAACAGAGAGACACACTGAAACGATTTCCATTAGCTTCATTGCATCACACACTGATTACTACAATCGCACGTCTCATGCTACACACTGTGCTCCTGTCACTTCTCCGACATTGCTAGTGCCGCGCGACACACCACTGTTGAATCAGCCAGGGCTGAACCACGGATCTTGGTCAGCCTGAAGGGTCAGTCTAGTGCTGAGGGTGAAGGATCACTCTGCCGGTTGATTAAGGGGAAGTCATCCTTACACTCAGTGGCGCCACACGGGTCTCGGTGGCCCCAGAAGCAGAACTGTTGGTGCCAGCAGCAGCAGATGCACCTCCCCTGGTTGTGGCCTGCAGGACAAAGCCTGCTGGGTTCTGCAGCAGGCTGGCGATGGCGCTGGGCGTGGCGGCTACTGTGCCTGTGAGTGCGCCGCCCGCTGCTGACAGGGCGTTGACTGGGTTGACCTGGTTGAACAGGCTCACCACCTGGGTTCCTGCTGACCTGGCAGCTCCTGATTTGTGGAAGACGAAATTGGGTTCGTGAAGAGAGGAGGGAGTAAAGCAAAGAGACAGGGAGTATGTATGTTGGGTGATGTGGAAAGGGGTATGAGGGTAGAGACAGAAGGATTGAGAAAGGGTAGGTGTGTGCCCTGCTGTCTCACATAGAGCATTCTCAGTGTGTGTGAGCGGGTGTGACACACCCTAGCAGCTGAAACAACTCATCGACTCACCTCCTGCCGTCCCAGCAGCCTGGTAGATCCCAGCAGAGACCAGCTCTGACGCATTCCCAATCCCCTCAATGCTGTATCGAATCGTGCCACTAGCAGCATCCACCGCTACAGTCACAGCATTCCCCGCCGCCCCTGCCGCCCCTCCCACTGCTGCAGTAACCGCGTCTGCCGCCCGGGTCAGCACACCCCCTAGCACTGCCGGTCCGCCCTGAATTCCCTGGGTAAGTTGCCCCACCGCCTGCCCGAGATTCCCGGGCCCGCCCTGAACCGCCCGGGTAATTCCCCCGAGCGCCTGGCCAATACTCCCTTGAACTCCAGCTGCGGTGTTCCCTAGCCCGGCGCCCAGACCACTAGCAGTCCTGCCTAGCGCCTCTGCCGCCCCTGCTGCCGCCCCAGTCATATTCCCTCCTAGGCTCTGCACCCCCCCTGCTGCTGCCGCTCCAAGGCTCTGCACCCTCTCCCCCACTGCTGCCCCTGCGCTCTGCACTCCTACCACCACCCCTCTCCCTACGTTCTGCACGCCTGCCCCTGCTGCCTGCATTACACTCCCAACCCCTCCAGCAACCCCTGAAACGCCTGCCCCAACCCCCTGAACCCCCGCCTGCAGAGCTGCTACAGCCGGCTGCACAGCGCTCGCTACAGCCGCTCCCAAGGGCTGCGCTAAAACCTGGGCTGCCCCTACAAGAGGCTGTGCTACAGCCGTTACAGCCTGGCGCAGGGGGAGTGTGAGTGCATCCCCTACCCGGTTCAGAGTCCCTGTTGCTGCTCCTACTGCCGCCCCCGCTGCTGCCTGCACCGACCCTGCTGCGGACTGGATTGTGCCGGGGAGGGACTGGGCGGCAGAGGCAGCGAGGGACTGAGCGCCAGTGGTGGTTCGAGAGAGAGTGGTGGTGGCACCAGAGGCAACGCCTTGCAGGGTGGTGGCAGCACCAGAGGCAACGCCTTGCAGGGTGGTGGCAGCACCAGAGGCAACGCCTTGCAGGGTGGTGGCAGCACCAGAGGCAACGCCTTGAAGGGTGGAAGCAGCGCCAGAGAGCGCCTGCTGCACGCCCCCCAGTGGACCGGTGGGGGTGGTGGGGGTGGTTGAAGTGGGGCTGCTGTGGGTTGTTGCGGTAGAGCCAGTGCTGCTACCTGTACCTGCCGGGCTGTCCTGCAGCCTCCTTCCCGGCTGACTAGGCTCACTCTCTGCTGACGAGCGTGCTGCCACAGGGACTGTATCAGCAGCACCAGCAGCAGCAGCAGCAGCATTGCCAGCAGTGCCGGCAGCAGCAGGAAGCTGAGTGGCAGCTGTGGGCAGTGGGGCAGCGTTTTGCACCGCGCCCTGTGCGCCTTGCATGGATCCCTGCAGGGTGCTCTGCACGCCACTAACCGCCCCTTGGATCGCGCCAGCAGGGACTGACACCGCTCCTTGCACGCCCCTCACTGCCCCTGCTGCTGCATTCTGAACCGTGGAAAGTGGCCCTGACAGAGTGCTTTGCACTGCAGACAGCGGGCCGGAGAGTGCTGCTTGTGCACCGGTAGCAGCGCTTTGAATCGCCCCAGCAGGCACTGACAGCGCACCCTGCACACCCCTCAAAGCACCTGCTGCTGCGCCCTGCACCGTGGAAACCGGGCCTGACAGGGCGGTCTGGGCTGCGGAGAGCTGTCCGGAAAGTGCTGCTTGTGCGCCGGTGGCGACATTACCCAGAGTTTGCTGCACCCCCCCGGCGATACTGCCCAAAGTCTGCTGCATACCCCCAGCCGCACTGCCCAGAGTGCTCTGCACAGTGCGAGCGGCATTCTGCAACCCGCCAGCAGCGCCAGCAGCTGCGCCCTGGACGGTGCCTGTGAGCGACTGGGCGGCAGACGTGATCTGCTGGGCGGCAGACGTGATCTGCTGGGCGGCAGACCCGGAAACGCCCTGAAGGGTGGAGGCTGCACCAGAGAGCGCCTGCTGCACAGCACCCAGTGGACCGGTGGCAGCTGCAGCGGTGGTGGCGGGCGTGGTGGGTGTGGGGGTGGTAGGAGTTGTGGGGGTGGGGATGGGGGTGGTGGGAGCTGGGGTAGTGGTGGTGGGGATGGGGAGGGGAGTGGGGGTAACGGTGGAAGTAGGACCATTGGGAGTTGCAGCAGTCAGGCCAGCACTACCAGCTGCTGCCGGGCTGCCCTGCAGCCTCCTTCCAGGCTGACTAGGCTCACTCTCTGCTGATGCACGTGCTGCCACAGGGACTGTAGTAGCAGCACCAGCACCAGCAGCATTACCAGCAGCAGCACTCGCACCCGCAGCAGCAGTGCCGGCAGCGGCAGGAAGCTGAGAGGCAGCTGTGGGCAGAGAGGCAGCGCTTGGCACGGTGCCCTGCGCCCCTTGCACTGTGCCCTGCGCCCCTTGCACGGCGCCCTGCGCCCCTTGCACTGTGCCCTGAGCCCCTTGCACGGCGCCCTGCGCCCCTTGCACGGCGCCCTGAGCCCCTTGCACGGCGCCCTGAGCCCCTTGCACGGCGCCCTGAGCCCCTTGCACTGTGCCCTGAGCCCCTTGCACGGCGCCCTGCGCCCCTTGCACTGTGCCCTGCGCCCCTTGCACGGTGCCCTGCGCCCCTTGCACTGTGCCCTGCGCCCCTTGCACGGCGCCCTGCGCCCCTTGCACGGCGCCCTGCGCCCCTTGCACGGCTCCCTGCACAACGGCCTGAACCCCCTGGACTGTTCCCTGCACTGCACCCTGCATGCCACTGGCAGCGCTTTGGATGGCGCCTGCAGGGACTGACACCGCTCCCTGCACGCCCCTCACTGCCCCTGCTGCTGCCCCCTGCACCGTGGAAAGAGGCCCTGACAGTGCGTTTTGAACAGTCGAAACCGGGCCAAACAGGGCGTTCTGGGCTGAAGAGAGCTGACCGGAAACTGCTGCCTGCGCGCCGGTGGCAGCGCTTTGGATGGCACCAGCCGGGACTGACAGCGCTCCCTGCACTGCGGAAACCGGGCCAGACAGGGCGTTCCGGGCAGCAGAGAGCTGTCCGGAGAGTGCTGCTTGTGCACTGGTAGCAGCTCCAGAGACAGTCCCTCCTGCCGCACGCGCCACATTAGCCACGCCCCCAGTGGCATTACCCAGAGTCTGCTGCACTCCCCCAGCAACGTTGCCGAGAGTGCTCTGCACGTTTGCAGCGGCGTTTTGCACCCCGCGAGCAGCACCAGCAGCTGCGCCCTGGATGGATCCCACCGGATTGCTCAGCGTCTGCTGCACTCCCCCAACCACATTCCCAAGCGTGCCCTGCACAGCACCGGCAGCACTGCCCAGAGTTTGCTGCGCAACGTTAGCGACGTTCCCGAGAGTGCTCTGCACGCCGCCCGCAGCAGACGTGATCTGCTGGGCGGCAGACCCAGTGATGCCCTGAAGAGTAGAGGCGGCGCCAGAGGCAACGCCCTGAAGGGTGGAGGCGGCGCCAGAGAGTGCTTGCTGCACTGCACCCAGTGGACCAGCGCTGGTGCTCGCAGCAGGGGTGGTGGCGGGAGTGGTGGGAGTGGGGATGGTGGGAATGGGGGCGGTGGGGAGGGGAGTGGGAATAGCGGCAGAGCCGGTGCTGCCTGTACCTGCCGGGCTGCCCTGCAGCCTCCTTCCTGGCTCTCTCGGCTCACTCTCTGCTGATGAGCGTGCTGCCACGGGGACAGTAGTAACGACGCCAGGACCAGCACCTGCACCCGCAGTAGTAGCAGCAGTGCCAGCGGCGTTACCTAGAGTGCCCTGCACACCAGCAGCGGCGCTCCCCAGAGTTTGCTCCACACCGCCAGCCACATTGCCCACTGTGCTCTGCACACCAGCAGCAGCATTCCCCAGGGTGCTCTGCACGCCCCCAGCGACATTCCCAAGGGTGCTCTGCACACCGGATCCCACATTGCCGAGTGTGCTTTGCACTCCCCAACCGCACTCTGCACGCCCCCAGCAATACCTGAAACAGCGCCCTGAATGCTCTCAACCGGCCGGCTCAGCGTTTGCTGCACTCCCCCCAGCGGCGTTCTGCACTGCACCAGCAGCACCAGCGACAGCCCCCTGAACGCTTTCAAGCGGGCGGCTCAACACACCTCCCTGACGCATCATCACCGCCTGCAGCGCCCCAGCAGGTCCGCTCAGAGCACTCACAGCAGCAGTAGCAGGCCCGCGCAACGCACTCGCAACATTGCCCACAGCAGCGCCAGCCACTCCCTGAATCGCCCCAGCAGGCCCGCTCAGAGTGCTGCCCACGTTGCTCGCAGCTGTGCCAGCAGCGTTTCTTATAGTGTTAACGGGACCAGTAGTAGCGAGCTGCTGAGCAGTGCCAGTCAGAGCGTTTCCCAGGCTGGTAACTGTTCCCTGCACCGCCCCTAGAGCGCCACCAGCAGCAGTCTGCAACACACCAACAGCTCCACCAGCTGTGCTCTGGATGGCATTCAAGGCGCTCCCAGCCGTGGTCTGAACTGCATTGAGTGCGCCACCAGCAGTGCTCTGGATTGTACGAAGTGGGTCTCGGGCAGCGGTCTGGACTGCGTTAAGTGCTCCCCCAGCCGTGCTCTGCACTACTCCAAGCGGGTCTTGGGCGATGGTTTGAACCGTGTTGAGGGCAGATCCGAGGGTGCGCTGAGCCGCGCCCGCTGCTCCCGCAGCTGCTGTCTGCACTCCGTTCAGCGCGGCCCCAGCAGTGCTCTGAACAGCGTTGAGCGCGCTGCTAGCAGTGGTCTGAACCCCGTTCAAGGCGCCACCAGCGATGCCCTGAAGTGTGTTGACGGCGCCACCAGCGGTGGTTTGAACTCCGTTAAGAGCGCCACCAACGGTCCTCACAAGATTGCCGGCCGTGGTCTGGGCGGCGGTGGTTGCAGAGCCAATCACGCCCTGAGCCGCACCAGTGACGCCGCCAATTGCGTTTTGAGCCGCGCTCGCGGCGCCCCCAATCAGATTCTGGACCGGGATCGCAGCGCCACCAATCGCGGACTGTGCTGAGCTGGCGGCGCCTCCCACCAGTGCTGCCGGGCCGTCAGCGACTCGTGGCACGGGGATGGGTTGAGCTGTTGCGGATTTGGTCAATGAGAAGGAATTGGGGCGAAAGGAGGGCAGGAAAACAGGAAAGAGAGAGTCGGATACATCAGAATGGTAAGACTCAAAATTGAATATAAAAATAGCGCCTAAAACCTGGGAAAAGACACTTGAGATTTCCGTACATGAGAACGAATGAAGGGCGTGCAGGAGCTTACCCGTTGAAGATATGGTCATGTGGATTAGCATAACCAGCGATAGCACGCGCGCTCCCATGCTGACAGCCATGGCTACTCTTGGCTCCACGTCGTCAGCTTCTCACTTAGCACCAAAATGGCGGGAAACGAGATGTTTCCCGAGCCTATGTAATCTAGGAATAGAATTCGAAATCGAACACTAAACACTTATTGAGCTGTGGTTTTGAGCCTGGGAATCACTGCTGATATGTGGTTTGCGGGAGAGACGCGGGAAGGATGGTGAGCTGGTAGTGCGTTGGGGGTGGATGTGACGAGAAAAGCATCAAGGTGCGGAATTTTATGGTGGGAGAAATTCGAGCAGATTGCGTTTGCGAGGGGAGGGGAACACGAGTCGCGATGTCGGGAAAACATTGAGAAGACGAATCGCGCAAGATAGGGAGCGGAAAGATGTGGGCTCGCGGAGTCGCTCGCGAGCCATTGGACTGTTGGCACGTGTGTTCGCGAAGGGTCGTTTTCCCGAAATTGGGCGTTTGAGTCAACATCGGACGGGTGAAAGTGACAAGCATCTCGCCAATTCCGCCTGTCAGCCGTCAGGACAGGACCACCATTGGAACAGACAGCTGACAGACAGCGACAGGTGATATGTTTCACTGAACTTATAACGAAGACGAGAGGATACTCCAGTGAAAGAAATATCTTTAGATCTCCTGGTGAACTGCAATAAGGCAAGAGAAGAAAGCGAACTACAAAAATGGTCAAAGGTGAGGAACACTCGCCTCAAAGGCGAACATGTTTGATGATGTGTTTAGCGTGCCTCATCCTCAAACCCACACCAATCTCTAAAACTCCGGCGGCCGATAGCTCATCTCTTGCAAATCAATATACTGCAACCCACCATCCCTCGCCCTCCGCTCCCTCCTCATCTTCCAAAACGCCAACCCTGCCACCACTCCCACAGCCGCAAAGAAAATAAAAATCGTCGCCACCAAAGGCGACCCGCGTTTTTCCTCTCTTGGCGGAATGGGCAAATCATCCCCATGCCCTCGATACCACACATTCCCCCCACCCTCTTCCACCGGCTCCTCCGGCTTTTCCGACCGCCACTCGGAGCTCGGCTCCCCTCCCTTCTCCTGCCATTCCTTCTTCTCCCAAACCGGTGGCCGCTCCGGTTCTCCAGGCTCGGTGGAAGGTTCGGTTCGCGAAGCACTGGGAGAAGTCGTGCCTGCGCTTGCAACAGCAGAACCCCTGGAATCTCCTGGCTCCACCGCTCCCTCCTCCTCTCCTTCCTTCTCTCCTTCCTTCTCACCACCCTCAACTTCTCCCGGCCCCCCTCGCATCATCGTACCCCCTCTAGCGGAACCCCCCTCCCATGCACCACCTCTGCCCTCTGCCCCTCCCCTTTTCTCCCCTCTCCCTCTCCCCTCGCCCCCCCTCACCTCCTCGCCCTCCACCTCCCCCCCATCATCCCATTCATCACCTCTTCCCACCTTCCACCCGCGGTACCACCTTTCCCAGATGGAACCTCCCCCTCTTCCTCTCCATCCCCTCCCCTCGCATCATCTTTGCCATTTTCCTCCTCGTCTGACTCTTTATACCCCCAATCCCCCGGCGCTGCTTCTCTAAAATACCCCGGCCCATCCGAACCAGGCTCGGCTGCAGCCTTCCCACCCGGTTCAGCGGCAGGCTTGGCACCAGGTTCGGCGGTAGGGGTCGATAAGCTTGGGGAGGAACAGTGTCAGGGGGTAGTTGAACAGGCTCGGGATTGGGTATAGCCCGGTTTGGTCGTCCTGCCAGTCGAAGCTTTTCTGCTCCTCCTGCTCCACCTCCTCCTCTGCCTGCTCCACTGCTGCTGCGTCAGCCGTGTCAGCTACAGGGGCAACAGCAGGAGAGACAGCGACAGCAACACCAGCATTAGCAGCACCAGCAGAAGCTGTTGCAGTTGCAGGGCTGGCATTGGAAAACAGAGACAGAAGCAGAGGCAGCAGAGGAAGTGGAGGAGGAGGAGGAGGGAGGAGGACGAGGAGGGGGTGGTGGTGGTGGTGGTGCGGGCAGCGTTTAGGGTGGGAACCGGGAAGGCGGCAGCAAAAAGAACATGTTCGAGACCAGCCTGCGGGGGGCCGTGTGCAAGGAAAGGAACAGGAATTGCAAGATGAAAGGGAGAAAGGCCTTAGCAACATGATAAGGGAAAGAGGTTTGCAATATTGAAACAACATGGAAAGCAGAGACGTGTGCAAGGACACACTTGAGCTTCGAGTCGACTAAGTACCGACAGCACCGATTGCATATCCGCCCATCCTTGTACTTGCTCGCACCAGCGGCACACCAGAACTTACAGGATCATGCATACCCAGAACTTTACATGCATGGATATGGCACAATCTGCTAGTCCATGTCCTCTGCCCGCTGGTTTGGCCTTGCACCAGCGACGTGAGATTACCCCTCCGTTGCTCACACCAGCACCTAAGAACACTACCGTACCAGCAGGTTCAATCCTCCTCTGCTCAAAGACTCAGCAACCATTACACCCCACCTGCATCATGCTGGACACGGACTGCGCGATCTGAGCCACTATCTGTTCGTCCATGTCCTCTGGCCGCTGCTTTGACTCGCACCAGCGACATGTCGTCTGGTTCTTGTCCGCCCCCGCCCACCACGTCTCACACACGCCCTGGAAGCCAGGCGCGTCCTGTCCGTGGGGTAGGGGAGAAATAGGGGGAGGGGAGGGGAGATGTGGGATTGATTAATCCTCACAGCAGTAGCCAGAGACGTGTTATTGCAGACCCATTGTTTGTGATGTTTCAAACCCCTCGCCCCTCTTAGACCGTCCCCCACCTAACCCCCCCCCCTCCCTCTCCCACACCCTTCCTCTTCCCCCGGTCTTCCTTACATGAGGAGCGAAGACATTGCCGACTGGCCGGTCCCACACGACTTTGACGGTATTCACAGCAGTAGCCAGAGAAATGCTCGTGCTGACCCCACTCTTAGTAATGTCTCAGACCCCTCCCCATCTCTCCCCCTCCTCCCAAACCCCTTATAGTATCCTCTTTCTTACATGTGGGGCAAACAAGTCGCAGACGGGTCGGGTCCCACACCCCTTTGAAGATCTTCACAGCAGTAGCCAGAGACATGTTCGTACTGAACCCAAACGGAATCAATCTTGTTCTCCGCCAGGGGGCCTGCCCGCCGCGCCCTCCCCTTCTGCCTGCTGCTGCGTGCGCTTCAGCTCAAAACTTTCATCATCTGCCCGAACGTGGCCGGTCGGCCGCAGCTGCAGGTGGCGGTAACCGCCTCGCACATTTTGCGGCAGGGCAGCCCGAGAGAAAAGGCTTGGAGCATGCGGGGCAGGGCTGACTGAACGAGCTCGTCTGGCTTCAACTTGCCAGCACTGACTTGCCTCATTTCAGCTGGAGGGGTGGGGAGGGTGCGGGGAAACGGAGGGAGCAGAAGGGAGAGAAAGGGCGAAGATGGGCAAAGAAGGGAGCGCAGGTTTAAAGAGTGGAACCTCAAAGCCCCAGAGAAAGAAGAGCTTGCGGACAGGGATGTTTGATTGAACGATGGGTTGGGGTTAACTTGCCTGCACTGGCCTTTTGGATCTCAGGCTGACAGCCCCTTATTGATGCCTTTGCAACTCCCACGCCCCCCTCATCGTCCCTCCATCTTACCCGCTCCAACCCCTCTTCCTCAACCCCCTCCCCTCCTTATCCACCACCTTCCCTCCCTTCCTCATCCCCTCATCCCCCTCAAACCACCCTCTCCATCTGACGGGGGGTCATAAGCGGTTCAACCGCCACCTTCCACGCACTCATAAATCCCTTCCATCCCTCTCCCCCTCCCT